GAGGTGAGATTTTAGAGGTCTAATATGGTTGGAATTAAGGATTTAATTGGGGTATTTAATTGGCATGTAGGAGACTACTTAGAGGTGCAAAGAGGAGACTCAAAGACTTGATAGATTATTTGATCAAGAGTTACTCTTCACCAAGTTACAACATAAGGTAAGGGGTAGGATAACTTTTATAATTCATTTTTGCTTGAAATAGCATTGAGAAGAAGTCCCTTACTTCTAAGTTAATTAGAAATTTATTTGGAATTATTTGAATATCATTTCTATTTTTGATGAATTTTTAAAGTTTTAAGATTATGTGAAATTTATGGCTTCTAAATGGAGCAACTTGAATGTATGGAACCTTGTATGATTATAAGGCATCCATGAATGTTGTTTGAATCGATTGCTTAATCATTAGTAATTTTATATGATTTATTGATTAATTTAGATTGAGAATTAGCCTATTTCTATGTTTAGTATTCTCGATAATTGCTTTAAATTGATTATTGAGATATATTGTATGTATGTTATGAAGCATGATAAGTAGAAAATTATTGTGCAATGTTTTTGTTAAGATGGATTAGCATATAGAATTGCATTGTATAATTTGGTGGAATGGAGGAAAGGTGAGAAATGAACTGTGAGAAAGAAAACTATTTTTTTTTATATATTAAATTGAATTTTATAATTTAATTATGAAGTGAAATTTTATATTTTTATTTAATTAATAAATATTTTTCAAAAGTATTGGAATAATTTTGATCTAGGAGAAAACAAGTAATTGTAAGTGAAAATGAATTTTTAATAATTTTGAGGAAATTATTTGCAATTATTATTATTATTTAAGAAAAATAAATTAAAATTGAGAAAATTATGATTTTGAGTGATGATGAATATGATGAGGTGGAAGGATGGTTTGGTGAAAAGTAGAAGTGTTCTGGGCTGTTTTTGGTAATTTTACAGTGTGTTAAAAATTTTGGGAATGTCCGATTTACTGGGAAACTCGTCGATTTTTCTTAAGAAATAACCTAGTATTATTTTGAAGAAGTTAAGATGTGATTTAAGTATAATGAGGTGAAACAAATTTGAAAGTAGTGTGAAGAAGTTATGATAAGTCATGCATCATATTCATGAGTCGGAGATTGAGTGTATGAGGAGGATATGGAAAATCGTGGTCTGCTCCATGCTAACCTCTGGGATGATTGAGTGTGATCGAGCTCATATGTGGCTCAGTGCTCGCTACCTAAGCCGTGAGACTCTCACTACCAAGCTTGATTATCCCGACTAAAGCCCCGTGGTTTCTCATGATCAGCTTGAGTCGGACAAGTAATTATGAGTATACTACCGCAAGGCTGTGAGAGGTTCCAAGTGAAACTCCCGATCCTTCTCGAAAAGAAAAAATAGAAAAGAAAAGAGAAAGTGGTTTTGGGATCCCCATGGTCTTGCATACTAGGATGTGTCCTAGAAAAGATTAGTGAATACATTGCATTCATAATATCATATCATTTGTGTGTTGATTACTAGTATGTTTGTATATGTAATTTCTAATTAACCCAATGTTATTTGCATGCTCTAAGTGAATATAAAGTTGTCTTACCCTTTCTGTGCATGTATTGTTATTATGAAATGTTTGCATAGGTGATGTTGAACACAACTCATCCCCGGTATCATCTCCAAGTAAAGTTTAAATACGATCACTGCAAGTACTAAGTAGAAGACTTGATCGGACACCACTACAGTGCTACAAGAGATACTTCATTTTAGTGGAAGTACAAAATATATCTCCTCTTTAGTTGGGTTGTATATCTTAGTTTGTCTAGTTAGTTTGTTTGCTCTGGTATTGTGAACCCTTGTTAGGTGTATTTTGGGATGACTTTATGTATATTTACTATCTAGTTATACTTGACACTTATGAATGATATGTATATTAATCACTAAGGGTATGCTCTAATTATTGTGTACTTTACTTCTACAAGACTGTATTGGTAATCAAATACTAAGAGGAACCAATAATAATTGATAAATCATAATAAAGTGAATGTTGGTATTAAAGATGTCACAAGGGGTGTGTGTAAGTTTCTTTTACGTGGTTTAATCTTTAATTTTTAGAAAGCTCCTTGAAAATGTTTTAGAACTTATCTTGGTAATAGGAAGATTTTAAGGGCTTAAAAGATATTTTTTATATGCTTTTAGATTGCATTTTAATTGATCAAATAATTGTTTAAATCGATTAAAATTACTCAGAGCCATCACCAATATTGTGTGCTCTAGTGTAGGACAATCCTCTAAGAGACTTCTTCCTCTTCCATCTCCTTAGCCATGACCTTGTTAAGGATCATTGGTTATTGTCCCGGATGGTCCTCCATTGAACCTCTTTTAGGGTTTAAGATTTGGTTTATGGGGAAGATTGTCTTGGCTGCTGGTTTGTAAATTTTTGTATTTGGTGTGCGCTTACCGATACAAAATACCGTGTGTATCTCTTCTTCTTCTCGCTCTCTCCCTCTCTTTCTGATTGATTATGCAATCTTTACATGATCTTGAATATTCTTGAAACACTATGTGATAGGCTACCAAATCTTATGATTGGTTGATCTAGTATAGGTTCATTTTAATTGTTTTTCAAAGATCTGTGATAGTTCAATTCACCCCTCTCTTCAACTTAGCCCTTTTATGCTAACATATTATGCTAAATTTATTATCTATGAAGTCATTTCTAGTGATTTAGAGACTCCACTTTATCTAAATTAATCTAACTTCATAGGATTGTCATCTTAATAACAAATATGTTAATCTATCCATTACATGAAGAACTTATTTAATAAAACATGAGAATATGTGGGGATGTAGCTCAGATGGTAGAGCGCTCGCTTAGCATGCGAGAGGTACAGGGATCGATACCCTGCATCTCCATCTATTCTTTTAAAAGGATTTTAGTGGCCAACAAGAAAAAAATGAAAAGTTGTGCTACATAGCACAAGTATTTCTTTTTCCTTTTTGACTTTTTAATGGTGCAATGAACAAGTCATGCCCTTAAATATGACTTCAAGATTTTTTTATTGTCTGAATTGAAGTCGTATCACATAACCTGACTTTATCAGGTATTAAATCTTCTTTTGGTTAAAAAATGTGCTTGTCCACGAAGTTGAGGATTGGATAACACTTGGATATGGCACGGTAAAATATTACATTTATTAATAATAAATGAATATGATGTTTCAGTTTATTAAACCAAGGATGATCGATTGGTAGACATAATTTATTAGCTTTGAGTGGAATATTTTGTTGAAACTGCTAAAGTTTGTCAGAGTTGCTAGAGTTATGCTATATTTGATGGATCCCAACTATTCCTGGGAGTTTATTAAAAATGAAGACTTAAATATGTTTAGGGTGTGCATCGTGTTGATCAGGGTTGCATGTAAGTTTCTTTTAAATGGTTTCATTTTTAATTTTTAGAAAGCTCCTTGAAAATGTTTTAGAACTTATCTCGGTAATAGGAAGATTTTAAGGGCTTAAAAGATATTTTTAATATGCTAAAATGTTTTTAGATTGTATTTTAATTGATTAAATTGATTAAAATCACTTAGAGTCATCACCAATGTTGAGGGTTATGTTTTAACCTAGTAAAACAAACTTTTAATATATTAAAACTTTTTTGGGGCTTAAGAAAGATTGTCAAACTTTTTTGTTCTTATTAATTAAATGGCTCTTTAATAGATTAATTCTTTATGGGATTTTAGAGTGATTTTCAAACCTCTCTAATTTAATCTATCTAAGGAGTTTTTAATAGATTAAAACTTCTCTATATTTTCAAAAGTTTTTGAAAAATTCTATTTTAATATGTTTAAATGCAGTTTTAATCCACCAATTTCATGAGTAAGTGAAAGTAACATATTAGAACACAATTTTAATCCATTAAGTTGGTCACATAAAATCTACATAACTTTCTCGTTTGTAATCATTTCAACATGGGATTTCAAACCTAAGTTTCACATATCATTTTTTAATATTGAGAGGGAATTGATATTGAGTTGGAAAATTGTTCTTGGAGCTTTGTTTGGTGATCACAAAATTATTCTTGTGATGTAAAATAGAAACCCAGTATTACACCTAGTTTTTTATCATCCTACTATGCTTGATGTTTTCCAAGTGGAGTTGTTCCATCATTCTACTTTAGCTTTCATGTTGTCTGATAGTTTCTAGATAGAATTTATAGTTCCAGTGTTGTGGAAAGGTGTAACTAGATTAGGAATCTACACAGTGGAAGTTAAACTTCCTCCACCTTGAGCCACGAGAAAACAACAAAAATATTCAATGATTTAAAAGTTTTTTTCTGAGAAAACTCGATGCTAATCCCCTCAAGGAAAGTTTTTTGTGGGAAAATAGGACAAGTTATAGAAATTTTACAAGGCTAACAAGATAGAAGAAAAAGTCTTAAAGTGCTCCAGTGTAGGACAGTCCTCTAAGAGACTTCTTCCTCTTCCATTTTGTTAGGCATGGCCCTGTTAAGGATCATTGACTGTTGTCCCAAATGGTCCTCCATTGCAACTCTTGTAGGGTTTAAGATTTGGTTTATGGGTAAGTTTGTCTTGGTTGCTGGTTTGTAAATCTTTTTTTTTTTTAGTGTGCGCTTATTGATACAAAATACCGTGTGCATCCTTTTTTTTTTTCTCTCTCCCTCTCTTTCCAATTGATTATGCAATCTTTACATTATCTTGAACATTCTTGAAACACTATGTGATAGACTACCAAATCTTATGATTGGTTGATCTAGTAAAGGTTCATTCTAAATGTTTTTAAAAAATCTGTGATAGTTCAGTTCACCCCTCTCTTCAACTTAGCCCTTTTATGCTAACATGTTATGCTAAATTTCTAATCTATGAAGTGATGTCTAGTGATTTAGAGAATCCACTTCATCTTCATTAATCTAACTTCACAGGATTGTCATCTTAATAACAAATGCGTTAATCTATCGTATAAGTGAAGAACTGTTTTAACAAAACATGAGAATATGCAGGGATGTAGCTCAAATGGTAGAGTGCTTGCTTAGCATGCGAGAGGTATGAGGATCGATACCTAACATCTCCATCTATTCTTTTAAAAATATTTTAGTGGCCAACAAGAAAAAAAGAAAAGTTGTGCTACATAGCACAAGTATTTTTTTTTTTTTTACTTTTTAATGGTGCAATGAACAAGTCATGCCCTTAAATATGACTTGAAGATTTTTTTTATTGTTTGAATTTAAGTCATATCACATAACCTGACTTTATCAGGTTTTAAATCTTCTATTGTTTAAAAATAGTGCTTGTCCACAAAGTTCAGGATTGGATAACACTTGGATATGCCACAGTGAAATGTTACATTTACTAACAATAAATGAATACGATGATTTAATATATTAAACCAAGGACAATCTATTGGTAGACATAATTCAATAGGTTTGAGTGGAATATTTTGTTGAAACTGCTGAAGTTTGGCAGAGTTGCTAGAGTTGTGCTATATTTGATGGATCCCAACTATTCCTTGGAGTTTCTTTAAAATGAAGACTTAAATATGTTCAGGGTATGCGTCGTGTTGATAAGGGTTGCGTGTAAGTTTCTCTTACATGGTTTGATCTTTAATTTATAGAAAGCTCCTTGAAAATGTTTTAGAATTTATCTCAATAATAGGAATATTTGAAAGGTTATGTTGTCCGGATGGTCCTTCATTGCAACTCTTGTAGGGTTTAAGATTTGGTTTATGGGGAACATTGTCTTGACTGCTGGTTTATAAATCTTTGTATTTGGTGTGCGCTTACCGATACAAAATACTGTGTGCATCTCTTATTCTTCTCGGTCTCTCCCTCTCTTTTCGATTAATTATGCAATCTTTACATGATCTTGAATATTCTTGAAACATTGTGTGATAGCCTACCAAATCTTATGATTGGCTGATCTAGTAAAGGTTCATTCTAATTGTTTTTCCAAAATCTGTGATAGTTCAATTCACCCTTCTCTTCAACTTAGCCATTTTATGCTAACATATTATGCTAAATTTCTTATCAATGAAGTCATGTCGATTTAGAGACTGCATTTTATCTAAATTAATCTAACTTCACAGGATTGTCATCTTAATAACAAATGTGTTAATCTATCCATTACGTGAGGAACTTTTTTAAGAAAACATGAGAATATGTGGGGATGTAGCTCAGATGGTAGAGCGCTCGCTTAGCATGCGAGATGTACGGGGATCGATACCCCGCATCTCCATCTATTTTTTTAAAAGGATTTTAGTGGCTAATAAGAAAAAAAAGAAAACTTGTGCTACATAGCATTATTTTTTTTTCTTTTTGACTTTTAATGGTGCAATGAACAAGTCATGCCCTTAAATATGACTTCAAGATTTTTTTTTATTGTCTGAATTGAAGTCATATCACATAACCTTGCTTTATCAGGTTTTAAATCTTCTCTTGTTTAAAAATGTAATGGTTCACAAGGGGATTTTAGTGGCCAACAAGAAAAAAGAAAACATGTGCTACATATCACAAGTATTTTTTTTTCTTTTTGACTAATACCTTTCCTACACGTAACTAACTCCCTTACCCAACTTTGGTTATAATGACCAAAGTTGGTTTTTCTAAACCAACGCCTTCTTTTTCTTCCTTTTCCAATGTTTCTGGATAAAACATTGGTGGCGACTCTAGAACCCTTTTTCGAAAACCTCACCTTTAGGTCCAACTCGGTTATCAAACAACCTAAAGGCGTTGAACCATATCTTAAAAAAAAACGTGAGTCGAAGCAAAATCATCGCGTCGCTCCAACCGCCTCTTTTGACGGTGGCGACAGTGCGATGCTGATACCTTCCCTGCACGTAACTAACTCCCTTACCCAACTCTAGTTATAGTGGCCAAAGTTGGTTTTTCTTAAACCAATGCCTTCTTTTTATTTTCCCTTTTCAATGTTTATAGTAAAAAATTGGTGGCGACTCCAGGATCCATTTACGAAAACCTCATTTTTAAGGATAGTTCGATTATCAGACATCCTAAGAGCGATGACCACATTTTTAAAATAAACGCGAGTCATCAAAATCATTTTGTCGCTCTGACCGCTTTTTTTACGGCGGCGACAAAGGGCTTAAAAGAAATTTTTAATATGCTAAAATAATTTTAGATTGCATTTTAATTGATTAAACAATTGTTTAAATTGATTAAAATCACTTAGAGCCATCACCAATGTTAGGGTTATGTTTCAACCTGGTAAAACGAACTTTTAATATATTAAAACTTTTTTGGGGCTTAAGAAATATTGTCAAACCTCTTTGTTCTCATCGATTAAATGAGTCTTTAATAAATTAAATCTTTATGGGCTTTAAGAGATATTTTCGAACCTCTCTAATTTAATCGATCTAAGGAGTTTTTAATAGATTAAAACTTCTCTATGTTTTCAAAAGTTTTTAAAAAATTCTATTTTAATATGTTTAAATGCAATTTAAATCCACCAATTTCATGAGTAAGTGAAATTAACATATTAGAACACAATTTTAATCCATTAAGATGGTCACTGTAGACCTCAAATCTTGCCCGACCTTAAAATAAAAAGCAGAAGACTTCCGTTCGAAGATGGGCAAGGCCTAAAAGGTCCCTAGGATTGATCAATAGGCCCCATATTAAAATAAGAAAGATTTTTGTACACAAAAAAAAAAAGAAATTCAACCCAAAGGGTCGAGACCGTCGTCTTGTTTGACGAGACGGCCGTCTCGCCACTTGCTAAAGGCGAGACCGCCTTCCCATTTGGCGAGACCACCGTCTCGCCACTTGCCAAATGTGATACCGCTGTCTCGTTTGGCAAGACGGTGGTCCCGACCTGACAGGTGCGAATTTCTATAGAAGATGGGCATTCTCCTCGTTTTCACAACCTTCTACAACTTCTCCAACTGCATATTCCTTAAAATACTCTTCTAGAACCCCTCTGAAGCATTTCCAGAGTTTTAGAGTTCTTAGGAGGCATACTAAAGTGCTGCGAGAGAAGAGCGAACACCATTGTAGAGCATGAGATTTGCCAAAAATCACCCTTTTGAAGAGCAATTTATAAAAAAGCTTGCTTCGAAAGTTCTTATACGTCATTTACTTTATTTTATTATTGGTTACTATCTCTGTGCATTAGCTATTAAGGGCCATGTAGTCAATAATTTAAATTTTGCAATGAATAAATAAGGGTAAAAGCATAGTTTTAATGTTCTTATTTCTTTATAAACACAGTCCATCATAGGGAACCCGAAAGGGACGTCGTGAGGAAGCTAATATCTTCTCCACATGTAACTAACTCCCTTACCTAACTCTGGTTGTAATGACCAAAGTTGGTTTTTCTTAAAAACCACCGCCTTCTTTTCATTTTCCAATGTTTTTGGTAAAAATATTGGTGGCGACTCCTCGAACCTTTCCGAAAACCTCGCCTTTAGATCCAACCCGGTTATCGGACAACCTAAAGGCGTTGAACCATTTCTTTAAAAAATGCGAGTCAACAAAACCATTGCGTCACTCCGACCGCCTCTTATGGTGGCGGTGACACTCTCCAAAACTGCTCAACACGGTTGGAATATTTTTCAGTTAGATGTGAAGAGTGCATTCTTGCATGGAGAGCTCAAGGAAGAAATATATGTGCAACAACCTACTTGTTTTGTAAAGAAAGGTGAAGAAGAAAATGTATACAAGCTAAGAAAGGCATTATGTGGGCTCAAACAAGCACCAAGAGCTTGGTGTGACAAGATAAAGACATATTCCCTACGTAATGACTTTGAAAAGTGCTTTTGTGAACACATTATGTTTACAAAATCAAAGGGAGGTAACATTTTAATTGTGACTTCGCATGTAGATGATTTAATATACACTAAAAATGATGTGAACATGTGTGATGATTTGAGACCTTCTATGATGTCAGAGTTTGACATGTCTAATTTAGGAAGAACAAGATACTTTCTTGGAGTAAAAATTTTACAAAATGCATATGAAATTTGTATGTGTCAAGGGAAGTATGCTCAGGATATGTTTGTCAACCACATTTCGTGAATGAAAAGTAGGGGGTTTGGTTATTGTTTTTCTTGTTTCTCCGACTATAAGTTTGTATTACTTATCAACATTCAATAAGAGAATTTAGTACGAGACTTTTTAGAAAATCGAACTTGTTTTTGTTTAACACTCGGAGGATTAGATTATTGTTTAAAATTTGATAATATTAATAAATTAAAATTAAAAAATAAAAAATTTATATATATATATATATATATATATATCACTTTAATTATTTTAATTAAAAATAATTTCATAAAAAAACTAATATTTGAAAATAAAAATGCAAAAGTATATATTTTTTCTTTTATTTAATTATAGTTTTTATTTTTTACTTTTTGGGTTTTAGTCCATAACAACAACTTAGTTGCCATAATTTTAGTTTAACCTAAAAATCTCATCGTCTTACCACAAAAATATATAATTTCTCTTATTAACAAATTTTTTTTTATCGATTAAGAAAATTATTACTAATAAGATTCAAAACCAGTTCCTTAGAGTTAGATATTAATACTCCAACCACTAAACTGTTAGAATTTTCTAATAAAAATTTACAAATAAATTATATTTATATACAAATAAATGTATATCGAGTGTAAATATATAAATATAAAATATATAAATACAAATATATTTATATATTTTGATATATTTATATGTTCGATGTTAGGGTCACACTAGAAGGTGAAAGTGTGTAGAGTGAGTTTTCAAAATTTGATGTCAAATTTGTGAGCGAATCTCTTTATATGGATTTGTAATTTAATGATAGAATATAATCTTTATAATTTATTTATATAATGATATAAAATAATTGTTTTCTTTATTTATTTTTATTTAATGATATAAAATAATTGTTTTCTTTATTTATTTTTATTTTATTTTAATTTATTCTTTTTATCTTTTTTTTCTTCTATTATTTAATTAAAATTCTTATATTAAAATAATTTTTTCATTATTAAAAATAATTAAATATTTATTTTCAAAATTATTTTTTAAATTTATTTAATTTAACAAATTATTATGAATTAATCTATGTCTCGGAAAAAATAATTATTAAAAGATGATTTTGATTAATTTATAATAATATATGTTAGGAAAAAAATTGTTCTATTAATAATCATAATTAGATTAATTTATAATAATTTTTTAAATTAAATAATTTTAAAAATAAATATTTAATTATTTTTAATATTGAAAAAAATATTTTAATATAAGAATTTTAATTAAATAATAGAAAAAAAGATAAAAAGAATAAATTAAAATAAAATAAAAATAAATAAAGAAAAAAATTATTTTATATCATTATATAAATAAATTATAAAGATTATATTTTGTCATTAAATTATAAACCCATATAAAGAGACCCGCTCACAAATTTGACATCAAATTTTGAAAATCTACTCGACACACACTTTCACCCTCGAGCGCGCCCTCACATCCAACATATAAATATATAAATATATTTGTATTTATATATTTACATGGATATATATTTTTATTTGTATATAAATATAATTTATTTATAAATTATTATAAAAAAATCCTAGTAGCTTAGTGGTTGAAATATCAGTCTCTAACTCTAAAGTACTCGGGTTCAAATCCTGCAATTGATAATTCTTTCAAAATCTAATAATAATTTAAATTTCTAAAAAAGATAATAAATATATTATAAGATAATATAAAAGGGAGGTTAGAGACTATTATAATTAGATAACATAGAAAGGGGTCGGTCACTGAAATCAGCAACCTGATTTCCCCTCATTCGAGCGATTTGTCCACGAATTTACAAAATCTGCAACAAAAGGAGTTTTTCTAATTATTTGGAAAGGTCCATCAATTCGGGGGTTGAGTTTGGACTTTCTTTGAGTTGGGAACCTCTCCTTTCTCAAGTGAAGTCAAACCCAATCTTCAAGTTGGAAGATGACTTCCTTCCTTCCCTTATTGGCATGCTTGCTATACTAACCTACCTTCCTCTCTATGTTGGCTCTAACTTGTCCATGTAAGTTGTTAATGATTTGAGACTTCTCTAGACCATCTTGACTAGTCCAAACTTCATGGATAGGTAGAGGAAGAAGGTCTAAGGGTGTTAAGGTATTGAACCCATAAACGACCTCAAAGGGAGAGTGAGAGGTAGTGGAATGAACCACCTAATTATATGTAAACACTACATGAGGAATTATGTGCACTTTTGGATTGAGCACTGATGTGGTCCAAGTGCCTCTGTGGATAGGTTTATAATCTAAAACTTCATTGCTTTAAATATGAATATTAAGGTAAAGGATGTTGGTCAAGTGATAATTGACTTTTCCCTTAGTATCTTTATAACAAATATCGAATATCCATGATTGTTTGTAGCACATGATTGACTTTGAGGATCAAATTATTGGGAAGGATTCTAAATCTGGTATATTATCACACAAAGAGGCTCGCATATTAATCTGGTAGTGTTTCCAACCCAAGTCTCCTGCATGAAAGTAGTGGGTTTGGTTATTGTTTATCTTGTTTTTCTCTAAACTATAAGTTTGTATTACTTATTAACATTCAATAACAAAATTCAGTATATACTTTTCATAAAATCTATCTTGTTTTTGTTCAACAATTGGTATCATAACTATTTCATAGGGCCTGAACCAGAAACTTATTAGGAGCACAAGTTAGGTGAGAGTGGGAGAAACCTGCGAGGTGTTTGAACCGAGTTGAGAGTGAGTGAAAACACTTGTGGAATGCAAAATGTGAGTGTGAGTGCTTGGATACGTTTTTGAAGAAATGGTAGATTTCAGTAAGTACGTGCAACCAACAATTTCCAAATTTGATGGACACTATGATCATTGGGCAAAGTTGTTGGATAACTTTCTTAGATTGAAGGTGTTTTGGCATTTGGTAGAACATGAAATTGCAAATGTCTATAACAAAGTCACTGCAATAGAAGTAGAAATTAAATTAATGGAGGATCAAAAGTTGAAGGATCTGAAGATCAAGAGCTATCTCTATCAAGCTATTGATAGAAAAATTTTGAACACCATTTTGAATGATGAAACGTCTAAAAATATATCGGATTCAATGAAGTAGAAATTTTAATAGTGAAGGACAAAACCCCTGAAGAATCTTGGAGTGGAGTGAAGTTGTTAGTTGAATGGCAAGACATGGAGAGATGTAATGGAGAGAGAGAGAGATGAAGGCGATAAAAAAGAATAAAACATGAGATTTAACATATTTGCCAACAGGAGTAAAGCCAATTGGTGTCAAATGAATATTCAAAACCAAACTAAAAAAAAATGGAGAAATTGATAAATACAAAGCAAAACTGGTAGCAAAAGGGTATGCACAACAATATGGAGTGGACTATACAAAAGTGTTTGCAACAGTGGCCAAAATGGATACCATACGCATAATACTCTCCATAACTACTCAACACGGCTGGAATATTTTTCAGCTAGATGTGAAGAGTGCATTCTTGCATAGAGAGCTCAAGGAAGAAATATATGTGCAGCAACCTACTTGTTTTGTAAAGAAAGGTGAAGAAGAAAAGGTATACAAGCTAAGAAAGACATTATGTGGGCTCAAACAAGCACCAAGAGCTTGGTGCAACAAGATAGAGACATATTCCCTACATAATGACTTTGAAAAGTGCTTTTGTGAACACACTATATTTACAAAATCAAAGGGAGGTAACATTTTAATTGTGACCTCGTAAGTAGATGATTTAATATACACTAAAAATGATATGAACATGTGTAATGATTTTAGACGTTCTATGATGTCAGAGTTTGGCATGTCTAATTTAGGAAGAACGAGATACTTTCTTGGAGTAGAAATTTTACAAAATGCATATGGAATTTTTATGTGTCAAAGGAAGTATGCTCTACCACATTTCGTGAGTGAAAAGTAGGGAGTTTGGTTATTGTTTTTCTTGTTTCTCCATATTATAAGTTTGTATTACTTATCAACATTCAATAAGAGAATTTATTACAGACTTTTTAGAAAATCGTACTTGTTTTTGTTGAACACTCCGAGGATTAGATGGTTGGGGAGGATTCTAAATCTGGTATATTATCAGGCAAAGAGGCTCGCATAGTTTTGTAGGATAGGTCCAATTAATGTAGTTCGTTGGGGGCAAAATGGTATGGAAAAGAATTGCCAAAACATTAATGCTTTGAAAATTACTAAATGAAAGGATGGATAGTGATTATGCAGCTTAGCATAAAGGGATTTGCAAAAATTCTAAAATTGGCGAAGAAGAATCGATGATAATCAGTTAAGTCCGGGAGAAGCTCCCTCGAAGAAAAAAAGAAAAAAAGAAAAGGGTTATATTCGTTAAAACAATTTTCGGAAGTAACTCGTTTTTACTCTCAAGAAAAACGTTAGATTTATCATTAAAACTGTTTTCTATTAATTTAATCGAAAGGATGTATTCAATGCACATTCCCCTGATACAGATGACATATAGTTTTGTGATTATTCATTGTGGTTGGCGTAAGTATATCAATTATGACTGGATCAATCAGTAAAGTATTGTTTATTTTAGGATCCATTTCCGTTTGAGGTGAAATGGTCTTTTTCATAGGCTCAGTCCACAAATCACAAGGTAAGATATGGTGCAGTTTGTATATTTTTTATGAACCACCAATAAAATATGGTATTTTTATTTTGCAGAACACATCCCAGGGCCTTTATAAATGCAGCAAAGGAGGCATTAGAAAATCAAATAAATTCCAAAATCTGTTGTAGGTTTCAGCATTTATCAGACATTGCAGATTAATAGAATGGCATCGCGAGGGTATTTCTCTGTTTTTCTCCATGCTTTTGTGTTAGCAAATGTCGCAACTTTAGGATTCTCTCAGTTGTCACCTAATTACTATGATTACTCGTGCCCCAATGCCTTGAGTACCATCAAAAGTGTGGTAGAGGCTGCAGTGCAGAAAGAGAACCGTATGGGCGCTTCATTGCTACGCTTGCACTTCCATGATTGTTTTGTGAACGTAAGACTCTGCATGCATGTGTTTATTATATACATATAGGTTATAGATATAAGATATGTATGTGCCTTAGATTATAAATTTAAAAATGAATAACTAAATAATGCGCAAATAATGTTTGTAATGGTGATTCATCAGGGTTGTGATGGTTCAATTCTACTGGACTCTTCACCCAGCATAGACAGTGAAAAGAATGCACGGCAAAATAATCAGTCTGCTAGAGGATTTGAGGTGGTGGATGAGATCAAGCAAGCCGTGGATGCAGCATGTGGAAAACCAGTTGTTTCTTGTGCAGACATATTAGCTGTTGTCGCTCGTGATTCTGTTGTTGCGGTGAGTAATTACTCCAATATTACCAATTTTAACTTTGAATATATTTGAAGACTGGTAGATACATTTTTTTTTTAAATGTTTTGTTTTTAATCTTTGTTGTACTATTCATCTTCTATTTTTGGTACAAATATACCATTATCAACTTGTTTTAGTATATATTATAGGGTTTCAAATATATCGATTTTTATTTTTATAATCCTGGATATTATATCATAGTTTTTTTCCTGACTTTTTAACACTCATGAAAAAATATATATTTTTTTGTAATTCTTACCATTATGCCGTAATAAATGATAATAAAAATAGCTATATTCATCTGACATAAAACATATTTAAATCATTTCTTTAATTATGCTTACACCGGTTTGAATTGAATTAGTCGATAGTAAAATATTTAAATGTATTAGTTAGGGTAGGGAAGGAGTAAACGAAATGTATTTCTTATCCCCTTTCCGCCAACTTGCTACACCAAAGTCAAAAGCCAAATAAAAATTATAAATTTATATTTTATCTCATCTTTATTTTGGTTATAACGTATGAATGACTTGTGGTGATTTGAGAACAATAATTATGTGCGTGCACCATGCAGTTAGGGGGGCCAACCTGGGAAGTAAAACTGGGGAGAAGAGATTCAACCACAGCAAGTCGTGCAGCAGCTGAAGCTAACATTCCACTGCCAACTCTTAGTCTTTCTGAACTCATCACCTCATTCAGGATCCATGGTCTTGATGAGAAGGATCTTGTTGTTCTTTCTGGAGGTCACGCCCTTGGATTTGCACATTGTGCTACCTTTAGGGGCCATATCTACAACGACTTCAACATCGATCCCAACTTCGCACAATATCTCCAATCCATTTGCCCTCGAAATGGTGGTGACGAAAACCTTGCTCCCTTGGACTCAACAGCCACGAACTTTGACGTATCCTATTACTCTAATTTGGTTCAAAAGAAAGGGCTTCTACACTCCGATCAAGAACTCTTCAATGGTGGTTCTACTGATGGACTTGTCGAACAATACAGCTACAATACCCAAGCTTTCTTCGCAGACTTCGGGGATTCCATGATTAAGTTGGGAAATATTCAGCCCCTTACTGGCGATCAAGGTGAAGTTCGTGTTAATTGCAGGAACGTGAATTATTATTGAAGGAAAATAAATGGAGTATAGGCTTCTATATTCTTACGTATATTAGAAATCTGAAGGCTAAAATTAATTCTGCATTTATATGTGTTGTCATTTTATAAGTGTGTATTTACTCTCTTCTTTGATTGTGGGGATATCTATAAACGTTGCTAAAATAGTATTAAGTGTATGGAATAAACGAGTTGAATTGTATGTTCAAAAATGGGATGCAGAAGATAGAAAATTATTTGACTTAAAACACGCCGCAATTAGGACCGTTCTAGTTGCAGCACACCGCAACAACTATACTGTGGCCAATTTAGAACCGTCATTATGATTATCAACATGGTAATACAGAGCCATACATCAATAAAACAATGAATAATCTTAAAATAATAATAATAATAATTTACACTAACACCATGAATTTAAAACATCAAGATGGATAAAAATTTCAATTTTATTGTCGAATTCAAAAAACTTGTAAAAATGAATGAAACCGTGCTTCAAGGCACGATTTAGTACGAAGAAATCCTACTTCCAAGACCATATTTTATTGGTGGTTCATAAAAAAATATACAAACTGCACCATATCTTACCTTGTGATCTGTGGACTGAGCCTATGAAAAAGACCATTTCACCTCAAACGGAAATGGATCCTAAAATAAACAATACTTTACTGATTGATCCAGTCATAATTGATATACTTACGCCAACCACAATGAATAATCACAAAACTATATGTCATCTGTAACAGGGGAATGTGCATTGAATACATCCTTTCGATTAAATTAATAGAAAACAGTTTTAATGATAAATCTAACGTTTTTCTTGAGAGTAAAAACGAGTTACTTCCGAAAATTGTTTTAACGAATATAACCCTTTTCTTTTTTTCTTTTTTTCTTCGAGGGAGCTTCTCCCGGACTTAACTGATTATCATCGATTCTTCTTCGCCAATTTTAGAATTTTTGCAAATCCCTTTATGCTAAGCTGCATAATCACTATCCATCCTTTCATTTAGTAATTTTCAAAGCATTAATGTTTTGGCAATTCTTTTCCATACCATTTTGCCCCCAACGAACTACATTAATTGGACCTATCCTACAAAAATATGCGAGCCTCTTTGCCTGGTAATATACCAGATTTAGAATCCTCCCCAACCATCTAATCCTCGGAGTGTTCAACAAAAACAAGTACGATTTTCTAAAAAGTCTGTAATAAATTCTCTTATTGAATGTTGATAAGTAATACAAACTTATAATATGGAGAAACAAGAAAAACAATAACCAAACTCCCTACTTTTCACTCACGAAATGTGGTTGAGCATACTTCCTTTGACACATAAAAATTCCATATGCATTTTGTAAAATTTCTACTCCAAGAAAGTATCTCGTTCTTCCTAAATTAGACATGCCAAACTCTGACATCATAGAACGTCTAAAATCATCACATATGTTCGCATCATTTTTAGTGTATATTAAATTATCTACTTACGAGGTCACAATTAAAATGTTACCTCCCTTTGATTTTGTAAATATAGTGTGTTCACAAAAGCACTTTTCAAAGTCATTATGTAGGGAATATGTCTCTATCTTGTTGCACCAAGCTCTTGGTGCTTGTTTGAGCCCACATAATGTTTTTTTTTAGCTTGTATACCTTTTCTTCTTCACCTTTCTTTACAAAACAAGTAGGTTGTTGCACATATATTTCTTCCTTGAGCTCTCCATGCAAGAATGCAGCCTTCACATCTAGCTGAAAAATATTCCAGCCGTGTTGAGTAGTTATGGAGAGTATTATGCGTATGGCATCCATTTTGGCCACTGTTACAAACACTTTTGTATAGTCCACTCCATATTGTTGTGCATACCCTTTTGCTACCAATTTTGCTTTGTATTTATCAATTTCTCCATTTTTTTTTAGTTTGGTTTTGAATATTCATTTGACACCAATTGGCTTTACTCCTGTTGGCAAATATGTTAAATCTCATGTTTTATTCTTTTTTATCACCTTCATCTCTCTCTCTCCATTGCATCTCTCCATGTCTTGCCATTCAACTAACAACTTCACTCCACTCCAAGATTCTTTAGGGGTTTTGTCCTTCACTATTAAAATTTCTACTTCATTGAATCCGATATATTTTTAGACGTTTCATCATTCAAAATGGTGTTCAAAATTTCTCTATCAATAGCTTGATAGAGATAGCTCTTGATCTTCAGATCCTTCAACTTTTGGTCCTCCATTAATTTAATTTCTACTTCTATTGTAGTTACTTTGTTAGAGACATTTGTAATTTCATGTTCTACCAAATGCCAAAACACCTTCAATCTAAGAAAGTTATCCAACAACTTTGCCCAATGATCATAGTGTCCATCAAATTTGGAAATTGTTGGTTGCACGTACTTACTGGAATCTACCATTTCTTCAGAAACGTATCCAAGCACTCACACTCACGTTTTGCATTCCACAAGTGTTTTCACTCACTCTCAACTCGGTTCAAACACCTCGCAGGTTTCTCCCACTCTCACCTAACTTGTGCTCCTAATAAGTTTCTGGTTCAGGCCCTATGAAATAGTTATGATACCAATTGTTGAACAAAAACAAGATAGATTTTATGAAAAGTATATACTGAATTTTGTTATTGAATGTTAATAAGTAATACAAACTTATAGTCTAGAGAAAAACAAGATAAACAATAACCAAACCCACTACTTTCACGCAGGAGACTTGGGTTGGAAACACTACCAGATTAATATGCGAGCTTCTTTGTGTGATAATATACCAGATTTAGAATCCTTCCCAATAATTTGATCCTCAGAGTCAATCATGTGCTACAAAAAATCATGGATATTCGATATTTGTTATAAAGATACTGAGGGAAAAGCCAATTATCACTTGACCAACATCCTTTACCTTAATATTCATATTTAAAGCAATGGAGTTTTAGATTATAAACCTATCCACAGAGGCACTTGGACCACATCAGTGCTCAATCCAAAAGTGCACATAATTCCTCATGTAGTGTTTACATATAATTAGGCGGTTCATTCCACTACCTCCCACTCTCCCTTTGAGGTCGTTTATGGGTTCAATACCTTAACACCCTTAGACCTTCTTCCTCTACTTATCCATGAAGCTTGGACTATTCAAGATGGTCTAGAGAAGTCTCGAATCATTAACAACTTACATGGCCAAGTTAGAGCCAACATAGAGAGGAAGGTAGGTTAGTATAGCAAGCATGCCAATAAGGGAAGGAAGGAAGTCATCTTCCAACTTTAAGATTGGGTTTGACTTCACTTGAGAAAGGAGAGGTTCCCAACTCAAAGGAAGTCCAAACTCAACCCCCGAATTGATGGACCTTTCCAAATAATTAGAAAAATAAATAATAATGCATATGAGTTTGATCTATGAGTCGATTATAACATTAGCAACTCTTTTAATGTTGGTGATCTTACTCCTTTTGTTGCAGATTTTGTAAACTCATGGACAAATCTCTCGAAGGAGGGGAAGCTGATGAGTCTCTGGTTGTCCCAGAGGCGGGAGAGGTCATCCCTAGGAGGATTACTAAGAGCATGACTAGAAGGGAGACCTCCTCCTCACCCTCCATTTTAAATTTACTAGTATTTTTGTTCCTTTAAAGTTTGGATTCATTTTCGTTTTGCTTTTTGTAAAACCACTTTTTACACTTCCCTTTTGAAGAATACCACCTCTTTTTGTGGAAAAGAAGTCTTAGATCAATAGGATACATGCATGGGCAATCTAAAGATGTAGGACACTCCTTTTTCTTGTCTTACACCCCTTTTTTGAAGAGGTAAAAGTTTGGCTTGCGGGTTTGATTGGCTTTGGAAAACCCATAACGGATCTCACCTCCTTTTCATGTCTTCCACACTGTTGGAGGAATTTTTGATGAATTTAGAAAGGGAGAGAATCTTATGGTCGAAACTTACATGGCCCATAACTTCTAGGTCAAATAATGTCTCTCCATTTGTTATTCCCTCCATATTCGTTCTCCCAATACTTATAAATAGAAGATTTCTAAAAATAATGAGGGAGAGATTGATGACAATGTGAAACATGTCCCTACATTCCCAAGAGATGATTTTGATGATGATTCAAGTAAAAACATTCAAGACTCAAGCAAGCTCAAGATATGATTATTCAAACCATTCAAGATTCAAGCAAACCCAAGATGACTCGTGAAGACTAGATAAAGTCTTAGAATACTGGATATAGAAGTACAAGTTCATGAAGTGATATTATGCATAAGCCTCCAAAGCACAAGTGTGATAAAATTTTGTAACATGATATTTTTCACTGTCATAATCGATTATGTGAGGGTCATAATCAATTATATCAACAAATAAACTTAATATGATATTTTTCACTGTCTTAATCGATTATATAAGTATCATAATCGATTACAATAGTGTCATAATCGATTATGTGAGGTTCATAATTGAAGTATTTGTTTTGAAATACATGGTCATAATCGATTATATAAGTTGCATAATCGATTATATAAGTGACATAATCGATTATGATGCATCAGAAATGAAAAATTGATTTTTCCCTGTCATAATCGATTATACTGCCAAAATAATCGGTTATGGCAGTTTGAAATTTGAAAAATAAATCTGTTTTGAAGAATTATAGTTGTTGGGAACTTCCTGATTTCTTTCTAAATATTTATTACTGAGCAACAACTATTTTGGATTCGTTTTCAATGTTATTTTCCTATTTAAATGAGTTTTGATGAAAAATAAAAAAAATACACAATTAAAGAATTCGAAAATTCAATTTACATTCAATCAGTTTTCAGAAAAGAATTATGAGCAAGACAACAAAACACTTTTAGGTTTTTTGAGAAAACTTTTTCATATTGCCTTCTGCACTTTCACTGTCAATCACACTGTGTTCTTGGAGTTATCATTCTAGAGGCTTCTACAATGTGTTGTCTCCATTACTTAGGTGTGACTGTTTTTATTTTATTGCTGCCTTTATCCTTTTTAGGGTTTAAGAAGTTGATG